TGGCTCTCCGCACATTTAGCCATTCATCACATGACGCTGTCTCTGGCTATCTTTGGGACATTCATTCACTCAACAAATATTTGCTAGGCAACTGCTCTGTGTCAAGTACTGATGTGGTAGCTGAGACCTTGGAGTAGGTAAGACAAGCATGATCTCTGGCTTCATGAAGCTCACAGGAAAGTGGGGCAAGTAGCCAGTGAAACGAATGATATAAAATCACAAAGTGCTATAAGTAAGTGCTATAAAGGAAGCAAGTGGGCAGAGGAGAGAAAAGTAGAGCAGACATCATGGAAGGACTCTTTGAAGAGCTGACATTTAACTCTTACTAAAATACAAATCCTTGTCATTAAAGTTGCCTCTACTCCGAGACAGTAGGTCTAGTCATCTAGACCGCATCTCATGTGCTTTGGACAAGTTTGCTGGAAGGACCAGACTCTGGAGAAGTACAGGGTCACCGGCAAAGAGGAAGGCCTTCAACAAGATGGAAAGACACAGTGGCTGCAACAATCGGCTCAAACAGAGCAACAGTGGGGGTGGGGGGACTAGCACAAGAGAACTCACTTTGTGTGCTGTGCACGGGGTCACCATGATGCAGTACCCTGTGACACTTAACAACAACCTAACAAAACCCCAAGTTTCCCATATCTGCATTCTGTAAGCCCTACATCACGGGGTGTGTGGGAAACTGAGAACCAGGAAGAGAGTGAATGTGGACAAATTCTCTACAAGTCTGGGAGGCAGACTGGTGGAGGGAGGCATTCACATTTGGGAGATGGAGAGGAATCCCAGTCACATTCTCCTAATTGAAAGATCCCCCACAAACCCACCCCATAATAATGCCAACCTTCTTTTCTTCTTTTTAAAATCATTTGATGGGGGCTCGTACAACTCTTATCACAATCCATACATAAATCCATTGTGTCAAGCACATTTGTTGCCACCATGATTCTCAAAACATTTTCTTTCTACTTGAGCCCTGGGTAATAATTCCAATCTTAAAGATGCTGCTTACTATTCGATTGAAGGTTATCTGCCTGAAGGCTGCCTGCCACCAAAAGCACTCAGACCGATTGTCCACCCCACCCTCAGTACCGCCGCCCACTCCCTCCCTGGAGAAGAGCTTACAACACCTAAAGTCAAGTGGGCTCAGAAATGTCAACGGTTAAGCCACAATCTTAACTCTAGAACCTGCCTACCTTGTTACTTATGAGGGGAGTACCCAAAAAACCCAGATTTTTATTCAAAGCTAGGTATTTAAATTTTTTTTACAAAACAACCATATCACCTTCAGAGTACTCTCTATTACACTTAATACATTTGTCAAATCTACAAATCCATTCTTGGAAACATTTTTCAAACTCATCTGTTTGGATGGCTGACAGTACCTCCCTTGTTTTTTTCTTCAACTTTTCTATGCGGTCAGATCACTGTCCTTTCATGTCCCTCTTCATACACAGACACAAAAAGAAGTCCCAGGGAGCGAGGTCAGGTGAGTAACGTGTGTGTGGCAAGAGAAGCATGCTGCTTTTTGCCCAAAACTGGTGCACCGAGATAGCTGCCTGAGCAGGTGCACTATAGTGGTGGCAAAACCAGTCCCCATCTGCCACAAATCAGGCCTTTTTTGTCTCACACTGTTACACAATCTTTTCAGAACCTCTAAATAGAAAGCATGATAAATAGTCTGACCTGGTGGACCGAACTCCAAATGCACTGGGAGTCCACATTTTCATCCATTCGGAAAGTTGACAAACATTTAGAATGAGGTTTGTTATCAATTGACATTTCACCTTTTTTGAAACAAGAAAACCACTCGTACACTTGCGGTTTTTCCCGTAGTGCTGTCCTTGTAAGCTGTGTTCAACATCACAACAGTTTCTGCGGCATTTTTCCCAAGCAGGAAACAAAATTTCACAGCTGCACACTGTTCTCTTAAATCAGCCATCACAAAAAAACGAGGTTCGAATAAAACTGCTACTACAGAAAAATTCACTGTGACCAGAGAGAACCTTCCCAGGCAACACCACTGGGTGCACTAACTCAGAGCAACTTGCTTGATGTTCACCTTGTGGGAAAAATGAGTACTGTAAAAGCTCTGCCCAGCAGAGTTTTTTTTTTTTTTTTTTAGTACTCCCTGTTATGTGCCTTCCTGTCACATGTATCCCCTTACTGTTTAATGAATGCCTCTAGTACATCCCTTTTTTTCACATATGTGCTTACCAGGGCTCGCTAGCCCAAGATTATACAAGCCTGTTCAAGAATACATTCGCTCTCTCTGCTTCTGGTCTCCATGGAGGGGTGAGCCCTCACAGGCCTTGTCTGGTGTTTCTTTAATTTACCCTTCAACTACACAACTGCCCTTAGGACCCATTTAGTTGTGGAGGCTGGTCCCCCACAGAGGTGCTCCTCTACTTTAGGACAGAGATTGGATGTGAGTGACTGCCTTGCGGAGCATTCGGGACATAACCCTTTGGATCTGGGAACAGCAGCAAGTCAGAAGTCCCAGGAAGCATTTGACCCCACAGAGCTGTCTATCGTTCAGAGCCACAGAGCCCAGCCCTCAGAAGACACCAACACAGGAGGGGTTACCTGGATACCTGAAGCACTTGCTGGTTTGTGGGGTGCTTGTACCACTGCTGGGAGGTCTGTGGACAAGTATAATCTGTCTAGTGGGCAGGCTGGCAATATCTGCTAAAACATAAAATAATGACCCAACAAATTCCACCTCTTGGATAGATTCCTCTTGGAATCTATTCCTCATAAAGACTTGAGGTGGAAGTGCATGAAGAATCGGGGACAGATGAAGCTAAAGAGACAGCAACTAGAATAAGGGAGTGGGGGTGGGGCAGGGGACTTATGATAGGGGAGCTGATGTAATGGAGTTCAAGAAGGAAAAAAATGTTTTGAAACCGATTCTGACAGCAATTGTACAATACTGCTTGATGTGATTAAACGATGGAAAGGCATGATGTCTGGATTAGTTCCTAATAAAACGGTTTGAAAAAGAGAAAAGGAATCTAATACCCATCAGTGGGGTCTAGTCAACTGAATCACAGTGCATCCTAGAGTGGCCTTGCATGGAGCCATTACAACAGGCAGGATCAGTAAGTGGAAAACACCAAGTATTTAGAGCAGGGTGTCATTTACATACACAAATGGCAAAATTTTCTATGTGTGCTGCTCATGGATGGTGGCATTATAGTTCTCTGCAAATGCAGAGCAAGTGTGAAAAGACACCTCAAGCTACATGTGTCTGGGGTGGGACTCAGGCCATCACTTTCATTTCATATTTTCTTACTGTTTAAAATGTTTGCCCGTCTCCCCCAAAATATTGTCTGGTTAAAAATACATTGAAAACATTTTTTTAAATAGTGAAAGAAACTTCAAGAATTCAGCCCCACTTTTTCTCCATAGCCTGGCCACAAACATACTCAATCCCTGCCTTTGGCTCCCACCCCAACTGCAATCCCTCTTTTCCCAGCAACTCAGTTTCTCCTGCCTTCACTAGCACCTAACACAGGATCCCCCAAGCTGCTCACAAAGACCTGTCACTTACAAGCGAGAGCCCCAGGGGAGGGCTGTGCAGTGGCAGGCTCCATTCATGATCACTATGAATAAATGAGCACACACATTTCCTGACTACAACGTGAGGCTCATGACATGATGCAACAGGCTGTAGACTGACTAGGTAGAGCGTGCCAGCCTCACCAAAAGCCCTAGTCTAAGCCCAATGCCTTCACAGCCTTGTCACTACTGTCAAAGACAAACGAAGAGGGATTCCAGCAAGTCGGGATAGCCTTTTGGAGTTCTTTGAGATAAAAACTGAACCTGATGACTACTGACTATGGGAACAGAAGCACACTCACCATCAATAACCACCAGGGGACAGGCAGAATGGGCCTTCTGGCCTGGTCTCACCCATCTCTCTCCTGCTGTTCACAAACAAAGATAAATGGTGGGACTGGACAATAATTCCCCAGGAATGTCCGCGTCAGGAAATAACAGTGCCCTCTTTTGAAAAACATCTCTTCTTCCTCCCTAGCAGTAACCTTAGAGGCAAGAGGGTCCCTGGGGAGTGATTATTCACTGGCATCATGAGTTTTTCCAGCGCAACCTGCTTCCCATCCAGGCCATTAAGCACAAGAAATACCTGACTGAGGTAATGGCAATTGAAGTGGAAAATGGTGCAAATGATTCTCATTAAGACCTCAACCTGAGGACAGAGCTTGGCTGAGAGAAAGCCTCAGAAAAGGAAAGATGTCTTCACACAGGATTTGCGACAGTCTCCAGGAGAATCTGTTAAAAGTACAAGTTCCTGGCCCCACACGCCACATGGACTCAATCAACATCTCTGGGAGTGGAACAAGGAATCTGCATTTTTAACAAGCTCCCGCTGCTGGTGGTTCGGGTGCTGAAGAAGCAATCAATGGTCGATGAAGCCAGGGAGAGGCTTTCCTAGTCAGAGGGAGGGCCAGTCTCCCTGCGGATGCTCCTCGTCACTGACTCCCTCAGCCTCTTCCCAAGACTCCTGGTCTCACAATCAATGCTCCAGACCTAACGTCACAGCTAAACCATTTCTCATCTGCCTTTGCTCCTACGGCCTTGGAATCTCAGAAGTCCCTCTTCTCCTCACCCCTACCTTCTCCCACCCTCATTTGGTGTGCTCACTGTGAGCACCACATGCACCAGGGTGGGCTCAGGAATCAATGACCTTGGGTGAGAGACAGCCTCCAAGAGCTTCAGGTCTCCATTTGTAAAACAGAAACACTATCTCAAAAAATTGCTTCCTGGAGATGATGGCTTAGCAGGGTGCTCAACAAACATGAGCCAGATTCAGTGTTCCAAAGTACGAGTCCCTCAGCTTCCCTGATGGAATGTGAGCTGCTTGAGGAGAGAACTCTCTCTCATCCATGGCCGAACTTCTAATACACAGAACCCAAAGGGGCTTTGAGGAAATGCTTGAGGCTGCAAAATGAATCCTCATCCCCATGCCACACTCTTACCTGCCCAACGTTGAAGGTCAATGTGATGGCATAATAGAAATTAGAGTTGGCACTTCCTGCATAAATCCAGAGATGCCACAGGACAGGGAAGAGCAGGGAGCAGACGATGATGATACAGGTGAGGACAAAGATGTTCCGTAGGACTGTAAAAACAGATGGCTACAGTTAGCCCAATGCCAAACCTCTCTGGGACCCTCTCTTTGCTGTAATGACCTGGTAGGAGAGAGGCCAATGGGGAGCTCCATGTAGCTTGAAGGCAGACCCTCCCATCCCTGAGACACTCGAACAGCGAGAGGCAAACCTCAGAGCCCTGAGTGGATGGCTCTCCATGCCCACAGCTGGAGGGAACCCTGGATGGTCATTCTGTACCTCCACTGTGATGGGTGTGGTAGGCCAAGGCCAGCTGTAACTGGCAGTACTGAGAAAACCTCCGAGCACTAGAGGATGCTTCAGCAAACACTGACCCTCCCTATCACTGCAACTTTGGAACACATTTAAAAAAAAATCATTTTAGGGAAGAGAGAGGGGGGAAATGAGCAAACGATATTGAGGACTAAAGTGGAGAGCAAATGTTTTGAGATTGATGAGGGCAATGGGTGTACATGGTTGCTTGACTCAGTGGATGTATGTATAGACTGTGATAAGAAATGTACAAGCCCTCAATAAAATAATTTAAAAAATATATATATATATATAAATTTTAAAAAATCATTTTACTGGAGGCTCTCACAGCTCTTATAACAATCAATACATCCATTGTGTCAAGCACATTTGTACATATGTTGCCATCATTTTCAAAACATTTATTCTACTTGAGCCTTTGTTATCAACTAATTTTTTTCCTCCTCCCCCACACACCTCCCTTGATAATTTATAAATTATTTTCATGTCTTACACTGACCGCTGTCTCACTTCACCCACGTTTCTGTTGTTTGTATCGGGAGTGGGGGTGGTGGGCACCATTATACGTTGATCATTGTGATCGGTTCACCCTTTCTCCCCCAACCTTCCCCCTACCCTCATGGTATCGGTACTCCCATTATTGTTACTGAGGAGTTTATCTGTCCTGGATCCCCTGTGTCAAGAAGTCTTATCTATACCAGTGTACATGCTCTGGTCTAGCTGGATTTGTAAGGTAGAATTGGGGTCGTGATAGTGGGCGGGGAGCATTAAAGAACTAAAGGAATGTTGTCTGTTTCGACGGTGCCATACTGCATCCTGGCTGGCTCGTCCCTTCCTTGTGACTCTTCTGTGAGGGATTGTGGTAGTTACACAATGTGGTAGTTAATTTGGGACTTCAGAGGATTAAGAGTGAAGGGGTGGGGTCTAGTCTGTCATTTGGACCACAGTCAATAAATGAGGCCTCTGTGTGGGCATGGCTTTCTCCTGAGAATTCTAGGAAATATAGTTTTTTCCTCCTTGGAGATGGGAGAGAATCTCTGCTCACTCCCTGAGAGACACGCTACTAACAAGACACATGGCACTACACTGATAGACCCCGTGCCCTGGGAACTGGAGAAACCACGTGGAGACCCCTGTTTGCGCTGAGATGCTTCAACTGCCACTGGATCCACAATACTTTGCACCCACTGGCCTGTGATTGTCTTGCATTTGGTGTCATTGCATGTGTTTTGTGAGTCTGAAGAGGTACGTATAGACTGGTATTGGACATATGGGCTAATATCGAACTTATGGACTTGATCTGGACTGGCCTGGGATTTTTTCTCAATATTCAATTCCTCTTGTATATAAAGCTCTGTCTTATACACATATGAGTGTCTTGGATTTGTTTCTCTAGTCTACCCAGACTAACAAAGGTCTCTACTCTGGGTCTTCTGATGCCTGCTACCTGACCCCATCGACACCTCGTGATTACACAGGCTGGCGTGCTTCTTCCATGTGGGCTTTGTTGCTTTTCAGCTAGATATCCGCTTGTTTATCTTCAAGCCTTTAAGAGACCCCAGATGCTGTATCTTTTGATAGCAGGGCACCATCAGCTTTCTTTACCTCATATGCTTATGCACTCACTTTGTTTCCAGAGATTGTGTTGGGAAGGTGAGCATCACAGAATGCCAGTTTAATAGAACAAAGTGTTCTTATGTTGAGGGAGTACTTGCGTAGAGGCCCAATGTCCATCTGCTACTTTAGTACTAAATCTATAAATATATGCACATAGATCTATTTCCCCATTGTCATATATATATTTACATATGTACATACCTTTATTTAGACCTCTATAAATGTCCTTTGCCTCCTCTAATTACTTTTACTTTCTTCCTGACCGACTATCATGTTCAGCCTTCATTTGGTTCCCAGTACTTCCTCTCAGCAACACTGCCCTTGACCAAGCCCTACCAGGCTCCTACGCTCTCCCAGGAACACATTTTTTTATTCTTAATTTGTGTTTCAGGTCCCCTATTTTGCTCTTCAAATATCTCTCACTTCTCCTTAGACCAGTGGTTCTCAACCTTCCTAATGCTATGACCCTTTAATACAGTTCTTCATGTTGTGGTGACCCACAACCATAACAATATTTTCATTGATACTTCATAACTGTAATTTTGCTACTGTTATGAATCAGACTACCTTCGACCTCCAAAGGGATCGAGACCCACAGGTTGAGAACCGCTGCCTTAGATGATGATTTAAAAATAAGTTTGAACAGTGGCAGAAAAAATTTTTTATTTTGAATATTCTCCCTCTCGGACATCAGCCCCCAACCCTTAAAGGTCATGCTGAATTCTACCAAGGCTGAAGGTCTCCCCGAGGTCTCAGAAAGATCTGCAACACTAGGGTGTACCTACTACAGCTGGAAGATGTATTAAAGCTTGAATTCTGAGTACTCGGTTTTTAGAAGGCTATGGACCAGTAGTGAAGTGGAGTTGATACATCTGAATTAAGGTGCTGGTGAAGAATATTCAAAGGACCACGAATTATCGGAATAACAAATCTGCCTTGGGAGAGGTACAGCCAGAACAATCCTTAGAAGTAAGGGTGGTGAGACTGTCTCATGTATTTGGACATGTTATCAGCAGAGACCAATCCCTGGAGAAGGACACCACGCTTGGTAAAATAGAAGAACAGTGAAAGAGGAAGACCCACAAGGAGATGGATCAGCTGCAACAATGGGCTGGAACAGAACAATTTTAAAGAAGGTGACGTGTTTTGTTCTGTTGTACACAGGGTTGCTGTGAGCCAGAACTGACTCATGGGTGGCCGGCACTTAACTGGTTACAAAGGCAAGCTCAAGTCTATTTTTTTAGTCTCTCAATAGATTCAGCTTCCATTGAATTCTTGCTGACCACTTATGGGCAATGTGAATAGCTTTGCCCTCAGGAAGAGTGTGTTTGAAAATGGATTACCACCAATGAGCCCTTAGATAGCCCAGAGAGGGGTTTCCTAGCCCTTAGGGACTTGCCTGGGTGTGATTTGGGTACCAGAGCTTACTTAGTCATGAATCATACTTGGTTCATAGGGGCCAGGACCACTCTTGTATGCCATTTTATCTCAAATAGTGTACATATATCCCAGTCACAGTCCCTTTCCTGCTTCTGTAGTCCTGGGAACTGCTCTAGCTTAGGATCTATTTCCTTGCCTTCTCCAGCATCTATTCTAGAGACTGCCCACATGCCTTGGTTGGTGGCCCTCTTCCTACATCTTCAATGCTATCAATGGTGGTGGGTTGAGTTCATCACACATTACTCTGACCTTTTCTGTTGCTTCCTACTTTTAAGAACCTTTGTGATAATCCAGCTAGACCAGAGCATGTACACTGGTACATATAAGAACTGGAAACACAGGGAATCCAGGACAGACAAACCTCTCAGGACCAATAATGAGAATTCCAGGAGGGGAAGTTAAAGGTAGAAGGAGCGAGGGGAAACCGATCACTATGATTTACATATAACCCCCTCCCAGGGGGACAAACAACAGAAAAGTGGGTAAAGGGAGACATTGGTCAGTGTAAGACATGAAAAAAATCATAAATGATCAAGGGTTCATAAGGGAGGGAGGGTGAAGGAGGGGGGAAATGAGCTGATACCAAGTGCTCAAGTAGAAAGAAAATGTTTTGAAAAGGCTGATGGCAATATATGTACAAATGTGCTTGATGGGGGGAGGGGGGAACCAGGAGGGAGGGGGGAAAATGAAGAGCTGACACCAAGGGCTCAAGTGGAAAGCAGGTGTTGTGAGAATGATGAAGTCAACATATGTACTAATATGCTGGACACAAATGTATGTACGGATTGTGATGAGTTGTACGAGCCCCTAATAAAATGATTATTTTTTTAAAATGTGCTTGATACAATGGGTGTATGCATGGATTGTTCATAAGAGCTATAAGAAGAAAAAATAATAATAAGAGCTATAAGAGCCCCCAATAAAATGATTTAAAAAAGAAGAAGAACCTTTGTGATTATACACAGCCACCTGAATACCAGGATCATCTCTCCATCTAATGTCTTTCACTTCAAGTCCCTTTTGCCATATTAGGTACCAAACATTCACGGGTTCAAAGTGATAGGGCACCAACATCTTTGTGGGTGCCAGTACTCTGATTCCCACACTCCTTTTCTCTCTTTTAATTCAGTAGGAGATCTCTCACAGTGAGAATGTATGCTATTTTTATTTCCTCTTTAATACTTTGTTGTATTTAAAAAATAAAACCAGCATTAAAAAAAAACAGAATTTAGCACAGAGCTGGCACTTAGTGAGTGGACATTCTCCTCTCCTCTCTGATCCCATCTATCAGGAATTCTCTTTTCCAAAGTCAAAACTCTCCCAAGATTTACGGCCTGATTGCCTCCACCATACTTAGAAAGGCTACCCAGAGGGCTCAGGAATCAAAAGGGGAACTGGATTAGACATGGTTCTCAACTCTGGTTACACAACAGAGTCACCTGGGAGCTTTGTGAAAAAATGAACTGGAACCAGCAAGCAGTGGTTCTCAAACAACTTGTTGCACACTGGAATCACTTGGGAGCTTAATAAAACATGGTTAGTTGGCCCTGCCAATTAAATGAAAATCTCTAGGGGTGGGGCCCAAAGCTTCCCAGGTGACTCCAACAGACAGCCAGGGCTGCTGGCCACTGGATGAATGGCAGCAACAGCACCCAGCCAGGCTGCAGGTCCTACCACCCATAGGCTTCATATTGACAGAGCTGTGTCAAAGTGGGCACAGGCAGTTCGCAGATTTTCTTAAAACAATGCTTTCAAGTGAAGGGTCAGCCTTTACTGGGAAATAGGGGTCTCTTAATTGCTGCTGTTAAAAAGTGCTTTCTTTTGTGAAATGGAGGTGAATGGCTGGTAGGGGACTATTTTAATGTCTTCAGCTATGGTATACATTTGAGTAGTCTGTAAAATCTCAAACTCTGGGAACACTGGTCAGGGGGTAGCCGAGGAGGGCCTCTTTGTTAACCTGAAATTTCTACAAGGCTAGGCTTTCATAGCTAAGAAGGCAAAGTCTCCAGACTCAAGCCTTCCTGAGGCCTCCCGGGTAGCCAGTCTTGTCCTCTGCTCCCAGGACCAGCACATCTGAGAAAAGGGGTGTTTTTACTGAGAACAGTAAAAATACTAAGAATAGTTAGTAAACAGTGTTACAACGAAAAGAAAGGAAAATAAAGCTATTTACCATTTCTGCCCTATTTGCATATTTCACTGGTTCTTTCTGATCCCCTGGAGATTATTTTGCTGAAAAAGATAAGCACTTTTCCTAAAAGTAAACTCTTGTGGCCTGACAGTCTTTCTTCTATGGCTCTAGCCACTCTGGGGGCGACAGGAAGGTGACCAAGTTCGGGGAGACAGAGAGGCTCCCATGAAGCTCCTGAGTGCGATTACTGAGAGCAATAAAGGCAATTCTTATGTGCTAAGGGGAAATATCACCAGCATCCAGCTGGCTCTTGGCCTGTGGTGACCTTTGCAGGAATTCGGAGCCACTGTTTGCTCTTGCTGGCTGACAAGCTAGAGGATTGAAGCTATATGCCAAAGCAGATGGAGCTAGGGACTGGGGGCACAGGACAGCCTGTTCTGGCACTACAAAGTGTCAGAGATGTCAGAGCTGAGCAGGGTCTACCATGACCAAAGGGTTCACCCTTGTCAGACCAGGTGGAATCAGATTCTCCACTTCACCCACTGGGTGGCAGATCCAATCTCTGATTCCACTAAGACAAACAGTGGAACTCCACTTTCCACTTTCTGAGCCTCAGGTTCTCGGAAACAAAACTGTCTTTAAAGAATCCAGTCCCATCAGGAGGGGCACTGAGGGGATTTGGGGAATTCAAGGCCAAGGGGATGATCCCTTTCTTAACCTAGGTGCTAGGTACATAGAATTAATTATATTGTTCTTTATAATCTGTAAGTATTTTAACCAATATTCTTTAATCTCGTAATCTCTATATAATAGTCAAAGGAAACAAAACTTTTCCTCCCTTCTACATTATCCCCACCCCCACCCCCAAATCCAGCCATTGACAATTGACTCTTTCTGCTGAACCAGTGCAGACTGGCACTGCTTGGCCAGCAGGCTGCTCCCTAATGCTGGAATTAGGTCGATATGGCTCACCCTGGCCCCAAGCACCAAGCTTGTGGGGCCTGTGCTCAGAAAAGGACTCCTCTTCTCCCTCTTCTCCTCCCCATTGACCAGCAGGAGACAACAGAAAGGTGAATGTGAGATCAGACAAGTAATGTCTGAACTGAATCTTAGTCACATGAAAATTCTGAGCCTATCCCACCTAGGCCTAAAGACTTCTCAGAGTCCCCACACATAAGTCCAAAGGGCCAGGGCTGAAGACAGTCCTGGTTGAATGTAGTCACTCACAAGTGTCCTGCTTTGACAAGCATGCTCACTCGCTGCCTCGGGAGCTGAGCAGGCGGGGTGGCTGCTACCAACCTCTGCTGGAGCTTTAGGTAAGCAGAGTGTGTTATTGCTTGCCCCATCTGCCAGCAACAGCATCTATTAGATCATGTAGATTTTTGGAAATGCCACCCATCTTCTCAGTGCTTCATAGCCTCTCAAGGCATAAAATGGCTTATTTCAAGTTCTGAAAATATGTTTACTCCAATAACTGATGGCTACCATGTATGCAGTTTTGATCATGGAGCCACGTAAGAGGTCCCCCTGTGTAATTAACACTGTTAATAACTCCAGTGCTAGTTAAACATATTTTTCCTCAAACTCAAACACCATAAGAAATATTCTCTCCATCTGACAGATGAAAAAACTCCGGCTGAGAGGTTAAAATAACCGCTCTATGTATATGCAGTTCCTAACAGCCAATTCAGGATTCAGACTCAAGTCAGTCTGGCTTCAGGCTGTTCAACAACATGGAATAAGAGATAAGAGCCCTCGAGGGAGAGAGTGCCGCATGTAGAACAGGTGAGCTCAGGGAAAAAACATTCTTTCCAGAAAAGGGGATCAATGTTGTCGCCAAGACCTGCTCTGTCCCAAACTGGCTCACATGTTCATGGTGGCTTTCTAATTTGTCACGGGTTATTCTGCAGTGACCGGCCACAAGCTGACTCGGGGCCTGCTGGGCTGGGTGATTCTTGTCTGTGCAATGAGGATGGCAATGGCAGTGACGCCACGGCCTCCTCCCAGTCAGGTCAGGCTGGTCACTGCCCCACCAGGCCACCACCTGCACGAGCAGCCTTGGCTTGACCCACCCACCCAGCTGTTTACCTTTGCTCAGAGGCCTCTGCTTACAGGTAGGTTTCTGGCTGGCAGCTGGTTGGTTTCACTTCCTGGTTGACACCCAGATGACCCCACAACAACAACAAAGGCACACTTCCCGTGAAGCCTGCATGCCTGTGTTCATTCTTGACACCTTGCTGTGCACCCACAGGAAGCAAGAAGAGCTCAACAACTCTTTCCCTGTTTTACTTCAAAGAATCGAATGTTGGTTCACTGACATGGCATCTTTATGATGGAGGTTTAAACCACAAACACCTGTCGAGTTCCTACTGTGTGTCAGGTTAATCCTGGGTGCTGGGAGTACAGCGGTGAATGCACGGTGATGCCTTCCCTAGAGAGAATCCACAGACCCTGCAAATAACCTCCCACCAAGGACAAAGAGCCTATGAGGGAAACACTGGGCGGGGGGTCTACCATCTAACCATCTCCTGGGGAAGGGAAGGCAAGAGCTCAGTGGGTAGTCAAGCGAGCAGGAAGTCTAGTGTTGCCCCTCCATCTCAGAAAGTCTTGGTGCAGCACAGAGGTCAGAGCTGCACTTGCAAGGTTACATTACACTATTCCACACAGCAGCCGCTGGCCACATGTGGCTGTGACACGTAATGGAAGTTAAAGAACATGTACAATGCAGTCACTAGCCTCAGTCACTAGTGGCTACTCTACTGGACATGTAACTCTAGGGCAATTCTACCATGACACAAAGTTCTACTGGGCAGTGCTGGCCAATGGGCTCATAAATCTGGATTCCAATCCTAGCCCTTCTATTTATTAGCCATGTGACCGGGAGCAAGTGGCTCTACGTCTCCTTCCTCACCTACCTCATAGAGCTGGTGTGAGGGAACACTCTCAGAACCACATAAGCAAGTGCTCCTTCAATGGCAGCACCTAGAGAGCAGAGAACCATGTCGCTGCCTCTCCTGGTTCTGCTAGCAGAGCTGATGCCCACGGAATGCCTAGCAATCCCCTGTCCCCGGTCTGCCTTGCTCAGGGCCGGGCTGTGGCAAACTCCCATGGGCAGTTGGAGGCTGAGTACTCACATCTGTAGAGGTGGCTCCACACGGGGAACAAGGCCATGTAGAGCGCCACGTCCCCCACGGTCGGATAGGACTTGAAGATGGAGATGACAGCGATCTGGATGAACATGAAGAAGATGGGGTGCTCCCTGGAACAGTGCAGGGAAGACAGACAGATATCAGACACCAAGCAAGCCTACCCCAGAGACACTGGGGCCCATCTCTCAGACCCAAAACACTCCTCAGGGGACAGTATGCAGGGCAACTGCTGCTAACCAGAAAACTGCAGGGACCCAAGAGTGCTCAGAACATGCAACTGACACAACCTACTGAGACATTTCTTCTCAACACCCTGCCGGCATCTACCAGCCCCAGGACCCCCCAGGAGCCACTGGAGAAGAAAACAAATGAAGTCAGGCACCCTTATTATTAGGCTTAAATGTCTGCTTGTCAGGGTAATTAGACAGCCTCTTCCCTTGTCCAGGCCCCTCTGACAGCTGGACCCAGGGCAGGAAGTACTTCCTGGCCCATGCCTTTTACTCTGACCAGTGAGGCTTGCAAGGAGGCCTGCAGACCCTTAACTCTGATGAGCTCCTTTCTAGAAAGGTCACTAAGAACTGCATGCAGCTTGTTAGCTCTACTGGCTGGAACTAGAGTTCTCGTGACCTAAAATTAACAATAAGTGACAGCAATGGCTGAACCTTTACTCTGCATGAAGTTCTGTGCTGAACTCTATATGTGAATCAGCCCCTGTGATTCTTACACCACCTCAACTACTCCTCAAAGTAGGTAAAACCATCAGCCACACTTTTGAGCTGAGGAGACGGAGGGTCAGAGCAGTTCCATGAGTTGACTAAGGAAACTTTGACCTATTTGTCTCCAGAGCCCCTGACCACCACTAATACTGCTTTCCTAAGTATTACTATCCCAGTGCAGCTCGGGTGTGGGGGCTCAGTCTGTAGGGCATCTGGCGCTCTGACCAAATACTGAGGAGAAACAAACGGAGGCCAGCCCTAGTGCTCTTCTCAGCCACAGCAGCACACGTGCTGGCGGCCGTCTTCTGCACAGTACCTGGAGGCCAAGCTCATTAAAAGTTTCCTTCAGAGGTTATGACATTCTTATCTTCAGGTCAAAAGTCAGTAACCCAATGGGCGTAGGTCTGAGATGTGGAGACAAACAGGTACACCCTGTAAGCACTCCAGTACCTGCTACACAGCAAATGCCTCCGAAACTCGGCCTGGCAGCCATACAGTTCAACCGTTTCTGCGAGTTCAGCCAGCTCAGTGACCATCTTTACTTCCTTCATAAAGACAGGCCAAATTAGGCCTGTCTTTTTTCCCCTTAAGGTAACTGATAACAGCGCCATAATTTCTACAGTAAAGTTAGTGAAAATAAGCTCCCCCCAAAACACTGAGATTACAATGTCCTGCTGCACTGAACAGGGCAGCTGGCCTGTGGGGCCCTGCTCCCAGAAAGCAGGCATTGGATTCCTGGAGCTACCGCATTTAGGTGGAGCATCATATCCAGGTAAAGTGCCAGCCGAATCTTCTGGCCTTGCAGGGAAGGACAGGAGAGGCGGTCCATGACAGTTTCATGACTGTCTACCCAGGCGCCTTCTGAAGCCTTTCAGGCAATACAGGTAGTTGGGAACTACCCAACACTCGGCCCAGTGGCTACACCTTTGACCAGCATGAGGACTGGGAAGGTAGACCACAGAATGCCTGAGAGCAGGGCTGGGCAAGGCTGCTAGAGTCCTAGTTCTAAATAAAGCCTGTCAGCCAAGGAGAGGTGGTTTCCTATTAGCTGCCAGTTATTTCATGGAAAACATCAGCCCTGAGCGTTTCCAAAACAGGAGCCCTGTGCACGGGCACACTGGCCACAGGGAAAGGCAGGAGCTCAGAGCAGGAAGTGCAAGTGCTTGTGTGTTTTTTCAACGGAGCTTTGAAATCTCAATCAAAGTTTTCTCCGGGCTCTCTGGATCGCTAGGCATCTCTGTACCAGTTTCAGTCTATTTTCCCTTCTCTAAAGCAGGGGTAACAGAAACATTTCCAAGAGCTACTACTATCTGCTCGCTCTCTCAGGAGTTGGCAGGGTACAGGGAACGAGCACAGATTCTGGAGCCAGACAAATCCAGGCTTGGATTCCAACTCCACTGCTTACTGGTGTGTGACAATGGGAAATCATCAAAACATCAGTTTCCTCAGCTACAAACTGGGATGATGATGTACTTACTGCCCCCCCTAAGAGTGGCTGGAAGGGGTAGGCACGATTGTGTTTTCAGAGAGCCTAGAGAGGCACCTGGCACAGAGCCACACTCACACACGGTAGCGCTCTTTCAGCGTAGGAGAGCTCTGAAAGAAACACTCTTTTGAAAGCAATTGACCAGAAGATTAAACTGAGCTGCAGATGACCAGACTTCCCAACTAATGTATCCTGATGGTCCTTTGGGCAAACTGTCACTGAGCTGATGGTGACACCCCAAAAGACCCATGTTTTCCCAAGACATCTCCCACCCCCCTGCTCATCAAAAGGGCCAACGTGACCACCCTGACCAAACTAAAGCGCCGGCACTATCAGCACAATGTAGCTCAAGTGCTCAAGATGAGGCCAGAGAAAACGTCTGGGCTCCCACACACCCTCCCTGAAGCCTGCACTAGCCTGACTCTCCTTTGATAGCTCTGGCACCTGCGGGAACTGAGGGCAAGGTTCTTTGGACAAAGGGTCTGAACCTGAAGGCTACAGGGGGCAAGGGTGAGGACCCTGTACACAAAGCATTAGCAAGTCCCATCACTTACTTTAGCTTAATGGCTAAGGGGATGGTGTAGAAGAAGACGTTGATCTGAAACACGCATACAAAAAAGAGGCTGAAGTGCTCAAACATCTCGGCAAAGAAGTACCAGAAAAGACCAATGTTTGGAGTGAGATCTGGAACAGAAAGTCTGGAATTAAAACAAAGGGAGACAAAAAGGAAAGCAAAGTTATAAATGGTGGGCTTTGGCCATAATTCCTCCTGAAGACACTGGTCACTGTTGGGCAGCCAAGGATGACTTTGTTCCCATAGTGATTAGAATGAGGGGATTCTCTAAGCAACCTGAATACAGGTAACTAACAACATCAAAGGGCAGCCTGACAAAGGAAAACCTGACAAAAATATTCACTTGTGCCAGTCTCTGGCAGGCACAGAAGTTCTGAAATAAGCCAAGGGACTCATCATAGAAGCCAAGAGATCAAGCCTTCTTTTACCACAGGAGATAGCTGCGACTTTAACAAAGGTGTTTTTTACACATTGTTTTACACACTATTTTGGTGCTTCCAGAGACTTGCCTAGAAGAGCAAGCGCAAAGACTCTGCTCCTTACTGTGCTCATTATTGCTACCCTTCCCCCAGCAGGAGCCAGAAGACCGAGTTCCTGAGTCTTCAGTGAGACTGCCAAGGGCCTGAGGAGCCACCAGCCAATTCTGGATATATTTCTGGGACCCAGATCTCATCTGAGAAATCAGAGTTTACCTGGAAATTATTTTGGTTTTACGGTTAAATCGGACAAAAATTAGTTGGAATCCTGGCCTTTCTAAAAGTTTACATTCAAGCTGATCTCCACTCACAGTTTTTAAAAACTACAAAAGGCAACAAATAGGGCACGATGAGGGAGAGATGGGCAATGGCTGTGCCAGAGCCATTCACTGACCAATGCCTCCACGCAGGATACGTTTCTGCTGCTTGCTATAATGGCATTTCCTTTTGGGGAAGAAATGAGATAAAGAACGCTGATCTATGGCCCAGCAGAGTCAGGCAATGGTTTGCACTAGCCATTAAACACTCCTATCCTAGAAAGAGCATGAAGAGTGGAACGTTACTGAGTACTTGTTGAGGCTCAGCCAGGATTAACCATCCAGACTCCCAAGTGGAGGTTTTATTCCAGATTGCTTCTTTGCACTGACAAATTAAGTGTGTCCATCACCCACTGGGCTGAGGACTCCTCCAGGGTTGGCTAAGGATCACCTCCCTGGGGACCCTACAGAAAGCTTGGCACTCAAAGAACATTTGGAAATGGTTGTAGGATTCATGACTATATACTCAGGTAAGTCAAATATTCTGCAAACCCACTGAAATTTTCTCCAAAGGTTTGATACATGTTAGGAGGCTTCATTTTAAAGTTTAGAAGAGACACTCTTGCAACAGAAGAAGACTCTACCAATTTCTGTCTGAGATGGAACCAAAACCTCTTGTCGAAGGTTGGTAGATATTCTGGGTGTTCTCATGCTTTTTAGTCTCACTGGATTAGTGGTGCTCCACAGGTGGTCTCTGGACCAGTAGAATCAGCAAAGTCTTGAGCTCCATCCCAAACCTACTAAATCTAAACTTCTGGGAATGGAGTCCAGCAATCTGTGTTTTAACAAGCCCTACAGGTAACTCTTATGCACATCAAAATTTCAGAATCAATACTCCAGATGGTCACTGTCTCCCTCTGACTTCAACAAGAGATACGAAAACCAAATTAGCCTCCAGAATTTTCTAATGAAGCCATTACTTACATGAAGCCATAGACTGCAGGGACGAAATCCCAAGAGCTGAGAAGGAAGAACGATAGGCAAATGATTACCACTAGGCTTCCCACGTACATCATGGCATACTCCCAAGAGAAGATCCAGAAGGCTTTGCTCTTGACTTTGACTGGTATGTACTGCCGCTAGGAAAGAAGGCAAGGTGGCACGTTTAGGGGCTTCAAGGAGACACAGCAGTACATACCCATGTTCACTGCAGCACTGTTGACAATACCAAGAAGTTGGAAACAGCCCAAATGCTCATCAGTAGAATAAAGAAACTTTGGTAGATACACACAGTGGAATACTATGCACTGCTAAGACAAAATGATGAAACTCCAAAGCATCTCATGCCATGGATGGCGCTGAAGAGCATTATGCTGAGGGAAGTTAGTCAACAGCAAAAGGACACGTAATATATGAGACCACCCTATAAGGATAAAAACCACCCAAAGGGAACAGACTCTGGAGGTTATCAAGGGAAGAAGGGCAAAGGTGGAAAGATGAAGTAATGGACTAGGGCAGCGGTTTTCAACCTGTGGGTTGCCACCCCCCTGGGGGTCAAAAAAAACTTTCACAGGAGGTCGCCCGATTCATAACAGTAGAAAAATGACAGTTGTGAAGTAGCAACGAAAATAATTTTATGGTTGGGGGTCACCACACCATGAGGAACTGTCTGAAAGGGATGTGGTATTAGGAAGGTTGAGAACCACTGGACTAGAGAGTTGACTTGGGCTAACGGCAGGAGGGAGAGCTACCCAAGGAGAAGAGAAATCAGAGCAAGAGTGGAAGAGAAGAT